GTGGAAATCTATGATGTCTAATACGTGCTTAGAGTTACAAGGATTGGAAACTTATGAATTGCTAGCACCAAGTAACTGACATATACTCTCCCCGATCCCCTACAACCCCCAACATGCAATTTTTAACCACCGCAAAAAGTTTTCTGAAATTGATCAGGATACTCTGAAGAGTCCAAAAACGAAGTTTGGATGATTTTTACATGTTCTTTCAGTCTTTTGCCTGTAAGTTCGCCGCTAGTGAACTTATTTTAACACATTACAAGGTTTTTATTCTTGGTATAGTATTTTGTGTCAATATTTCCTTACAAATCCGAGCAGTACTTCACAAGTTATATATAGACGACACTATTTCTCGTAATGTTCATGTCATATAACACCCAAAAACTTTATATCTCATTTTCGAAATTTTACAATACTCCCTCGCCCGTGGCGTAGGAAGTGGAATGAAATTATCGCGATACTGCGTCCACAATGAGCGCGTTCAGTGAACGTAAGGCGATGCAGCAGCATGGAGATATGTACATGTTGGAAAAATTTGCTTATGGTCCCTGATTCTTTCCATCCTCGCCACGCATCTTGCTACGCTGAGGTAACTTAGGACACTGATCTCAAATATGGCCATTAAAAAACACTGCGTACTAAAAATAAGACAGCACAAAGCGCCTTCGATCACAAGAATCGACGAACGCGAGAGAGTATAGCAGCTGTCGGATGTCTGTGGTCGGACGGGCAAAATCAGTATGTTTACTGCGTATTCGATTTAATCAAGAAATGAATTTTCATTTGAGAGCCTCTTTTCATCAAAGATCTTCCCTGTATCTCACAATATCCCTGATATGTCCTCATTGTCCTTCCATAGCTTTCCTTGCTTCTGTCGTTTTTGCATGTCGTGTCGATGCGGCCGAGCCAGGCCGGTTTTTCACCATTTTATTAAGTCATTTAAATAACAAAGTACCGAAGATAGTATAAAAACGTCGTCGCGGTCCACAAACGGGGCCCAACGTCAATTTATAGCCGTTTACAAATTAGGAGATCGCGTGGCAAGGACCAGGATGGCTTTATTTCATACGGATACCGCCATTGTAGGATAATCGAGTACGTCCAGTCGCCTATGACGAATTTTCGGAGATTCATTTGTTTTAGACATTCTGAATTTACTGCTATAGAGACATATTTATAGATCTGATGCTAAGAGATAAAATCGTTAACTGTATTAACTAAGAACTTAGTAGTCGCAAGTTAGGTATTGCTTATGTTAAACTTATGCCTGAAATTTCTCGATACAGGGTCGTTCAGAAAAACGTAGGTCCTCAGTATCCCATTACCAAAATACAGGGCGTTACCAATTTCTAAGCCGAATGAGGACAAAACATGATCATTGAAATAACGCTATGGTGGGATAAGATGATTCTCCTGATACACCCCATATAATATTCAATGTGAAGGTCCACTAATTTTAGTATATTTCCAATGTATAATGGGTTGAACTTTTGTGCCGAATTTACCTCTAATATTAAAAAATGCTTTATCCAAACGAGTAGAGATACGAATATTTATCAAGAAAAACGAGTGATTCAAAATTGAATACCTTATTTATAAATTCAATAGATGTATCAAAAAAGTATCGTAGAAAATAACCTCTGAAGCAGGGTTTCCCAAACTTTTTTTGTTGAGGCTCCCCGGACTATAAATTATATTTCCATGTCCCCCTTTACTTTTTCAATAAATACAAATAAACGCATATTATATAGGTACAAAGACATTTATTTTAATTCTAACAAAGAAACTTTAAAAGTTTAAATAAACAAATAAATGTGTTTTATCGAAAAACTTGGATAAAATAAGAGTAGGTACTAATGAGACACTTGAGATTGCATGTTCTGTACCAGTTGGTTGATTCTAGGTTCTGTTTTTGCTCGAGCTATCATCAGGTTGCTATCGACATCAAGACGATTTCGCTGTTTAGTTTTAATTAAAACTAGAGCAGAAAAGCCTGTCTCACATACGTAAGTCGAAGAAAAAGGAACTAGTATTCATAAAGCAAGAGAGGCAAGTGTCGAATTAACAGGCAATCGTTTGATCCAAAATTTGCCCAAAGTTAAAAAGATGGAAGTCATCTTTCATGGACGAATCAGCCTTCAGTTCTAAAAATTCTTCCTGAACTTCTTCTGGTAATTGTGACACATCGACAACAAATGGTTTCTTGTCATGTCCCATATTGGTCGTCCAGCGCTTGCAAATATTTCTTTCTAAAATGCAAACGCTTTCCGCCCCCCTTGATATCTTGGGAGGCGTGCCCCCCTGGTTGGGAACTCCTGCTCTAAAGGGATCAAAATTTACCAATTTCTAGTGTAGTTTTACGTACAAATTTATGTAAGCATGTTCTTTTTAATAATCCTGTATAGTGAGCTTAAAGGTAAGCCCAGATATTACTTCGCACGCCTACTGGCGGGGAAATGTTGTACAAGTATTTGCGAAAAATTTCGAAATTGAGATATTATGTTTCTTAGATGTTATATGACATGCACCACATTATGAAAAATCATGTAACTGTCCATCTGTTTGACGGTCTGTCGATCTGTACCCAATTTTCTGTGACCGTTTTTATGTAAACGTGACCTTTGTTAATTTGTGCTTATGAAATGTCTATCATGTACTTCGTACATGAGCAGACAAAAATTTATATGTCTATTTGCGTATCAAGTAGCTTAATATGAAGTAATTTTCCTATATAAATAGTTTCCGCATGATGTTAGTCAACCTTTTCTAAGTAGTGAGTGCAACGTACATTTTTTCAAGGGAATGTTTCACTCAAATTGGACGAAGGGTGAGATACGAATCAAGCAACGTGAAGAATTTGGAGTTCATAGTTTATGGCTTATTACGTGCGTATAATTTAAATAAATGGGGGGCATAAATACTTATATTATATGCTTATACAGACATGAAAGTGTGCAAGAGAAATATGTGGCTTGTAGATTGGGATTAATATTGAGATAACGGAAAAGAAACGGAAAATAATAATTCGCCTTTTTTCTCTGCCAGTAGCTAATCAAAATAGTATTAGACGTTGAAAAAATCAGCAAGATGTATAAAGGGTATGAAGTTATGGATGAACCAACGGAGTGGCTTTCTGGTGATGTTGGAGCGCCTAAATACTTATAGAATTAAATCATATATGAGTTTCCCGTAACTCAGTTCTAGTTCAGGAGATACTTTCGCTTTTGTGAAATTTTATAATAGCTCCGACTTTGGACTTGAATTTGCGAATGCAGCCAAGCTACCAAAATCACAGATGTGTTGTTTTCCGGAAGTACTACAATAGTAGATTTTTTGACGACTCTGCTCATTTGAAGAATAACCTCCATGAGTGTTCGAATGGAAATCATTTCAATTTTTGCTCGGAACTTCTGTTATCTCCTTAACTTTAAAGGCTGTCAACAAAAAACTCATCCTACTACCTCTTCTAAGATCTGCTAACAAACTACTAGATTTGATAATGAATGTAAGTTGCACTACAAAAATACTATAAGCAGTGAAGCTTCTAATTTGGAAGCACCCTCTAATTTACTATTTGCCTTCTGATGGGTTTTATTTGATTGTCTGACCTGAAAACTCCTCTCCGTTGTGACCTATGGAACCCATAATTCTACAGCAGGACTGATATTATTGAAGGAACAAATTTGTCGGATGATATACTCGAATGCTTTGAAAACTTTTTACGAGAGATCTGGTGGTATTTCCAAGTTACCATTGATGCGACGAAAAAAGCTAATCGAAAAATAATTTTTTCAGAAGAGGTAAAGGAACAGAATTGAAAAAGATGAACAGGTTTCGAAAACGTATTCACGATGTCATAATCGAACGTAAGTAAAATGTCTCAAGAGCAACCGTAACACTGCAATGGAAAAAAAGTACTACTATATTAACTTGTTTAATAACTCGTACAATAAGAAGAAAACACTAAAGGCACAGAGGTAACAAGTGCAGGAATAATAAAATCGACTGTATCTTCGTTGATGGTATAACATATGACGAGCCATCTACATGCCTTTGGTGAACACTTATCTACTATCATTTCATTTCTCTAATATATCCAATGAATGTGCTACTGCATCTAACAACATCAGCACCACGTTTTTCAGTCCTGTCACCATAGATGTAATCAACAACTTACCTAATCAAAAAGTACGGGGACGATGAGATTCCTGTTTCGCTAATTAAGGATATCTGGTATCATTGAACCAATCCTTGCTGAAATTATCGGTGCTTCAGTAATTAAATGTACTTTTCCATCTGCATTAAAATTAGCTACTATTATTCTAACATTAAAAAAAGGTGATCCTTTAGACTTAGAAAACTACAGGAATAACTCTTTTAAATACTTTCTCAAAAATCATGGAAAAAGTCATTTCAATAAAGATTGAGTCTTACTTCAACACTAATGAAATTTTGGTTTTCGAGCTGGATTTTCAACAGAACTAGCAGCCACCGAATGTGTTCAGCATATACTTGACAGTGTCGATAATGGTACGGTCGTAACAGCAATATTTTTCGATCTGACCAGAGCACTGTTTCCCACAAATTTGTTTTTGATAAGCTTGATAGGATTGAAATTCGAGGTTGTGTTAACTCATGGTTGACCTCCTTTTTGGAAAAGACAAATTTTTTTTGTGAAAGCTAATGATAAAAAATCTAATGAATTTGACATCGATTGTGGAACACCTCAAGGCAGTGTCTTACGACCTTTGATCTCTTTATTGTTTGTCAATGACCTTCCTTTATATATCAGTGAAGGTACACCTTTCTTATAGGCTGTTGACACCTGTATAATTTTATCTGCTGACTCAGCGCAAAGCCTTGAGCAAAAAAACAAAAATTGTGATAAAGGAATGTTTGGTGCTATAAAAACCGCCCGATCGTCAACTGTAATAAGACTGTAACCAGAGTTTCACACCAGACATAAACCCCGAACTAATTTTAATTACAACTTTAATCGATCTCTAATAAAACCATCCATTTCATGAATTGTTAGGTGTCATTTTAGACTCACATCTGTTATGGAAAGAAAATGCTAATTCTGGCTTGATGAATATTTATGATGCGTTAGGATACTCTGACATTTCATATTGTGTTGTCTTGTGAGGGCAGGCTAAAGACGTTCAGCGTGTTTTTATCCTACAAAAAAGAAAGATCCGTTTAATTTTTAAAATTCACTATCAGGCATCTTGCAGTTAAATATTCAAACGTTATCGAATTCTTATTGTGGCATCTATTTATATATTCAAGCTATTAGTGTACTTTTTCCAAAGTAAAAACAAATTTAAAAGACATTCCGATATCCATAATTACAATATTCCTAACAAAGAGAATTTCATTATCAATAAATTTTATCACATGTACTATAAAAAGTCTCCAGTTTATGCTGGATGTATGCTCTTTAACCGGCTTCCAGGCGATGTGCGTGAGGTTACGTCGTTGAATAGCTTTAAAAGTAAGGCAAGAAACATTTTAATGAAAAGCTGTTTTTACAGTATTGACGAGTTTCTCGCTCATTTTAAAAACTAATATACACTTGGTTGTATTTTATATTCTATTGTCGGCTCAAGTGTTTTTTTTTTGTTTGTACATTGCACCAGTTTTTATTTCTTTTACTTATGACGAATTCCATGTCATCATTGATGATTTGTTCAACAAAGAATTATTATTATTATTATTATTAACAATCAGATGAGTCTGTGTAACTACATTTCTTATCTCATTGTGTGCCTTTCAAGCATCACAGCTAAACATACGATTTGTTTCTGCTTCATGAAGTTTGCCCTCAAAAACAGCACAGTGGCCAACCAGACCCACTACTTATAGAAAAAATATCACAGCCACAAACCTGATTGGCTATACCTACAAACAAAACTTTTTTTCTAAAATTATCTGAGTTATCTTATTGGCGAGTGTAGTGGTTTATCAGTTACAGTCACGTAAATAGCTAGAATGGCAGATAACTAATACTTGTTGCGACCCTATGTTGGAACGGGCTTCACAAACATATCCCACAGCAGTCATTGATACAAACAAAGCAAGCTGAATACACATATACACGGTACGTAAATGGTAGAGTGGGTCTATACACACATATTTCCACGTAATATAAAATAAATATGTTTGTCGATGGAAGTTATAATAATACCTATATAGGAAAGGAAAATAGAGCCGTAGTGTATTTTAGCTCCCCTCAGGGAGCTTTTGTGGTAGAGATGGATATAACTGGAAAATAATATTTTATGTAATAAAGAGGAAAGCACGCTTTTCTGGAAATAGTTTCGCTCGATGTTTGCCAAGTGCGTTCTTGTATTTTTCTTTGAGTGTAACCGACGCTTGTTTTCGTATTTTTCTTATAGCTCCTAGGACTGGCTTGTTGTATGAAGAAGTGGACTGTAATTTTGTTTTCCATTACTGTATAAAGTTAAGGTTAAGGTTTTCTCAAACAGGTTTCTTTAAATTGGAATTAATAAATAAAAATGCTTATTTTGGATTACCAATATACAACTACTATTAACTCTTCCGTCGACAAAATGAAGTAAATGCAGAAAGCACCTTACCAGTCTGGAAATTGCCCAAAATGATATTGACAAAGCAATATGAGCTTTCTAAAAGTTTACATCTACAAAAACGATTAAGGAATCATGGTTGTCAAACCAAAAATATTTCGTATAAGATTTGGAGTAATCGTAAAATTTCGGACTATGACTGTGTTCAACCAACATAAAGCGCTCTTATGCTGATTTTTGTAAACTGAAGCAGCCGCATAGGCAGAAGCGTAAATACCGAGGCACCGAGGCTACTATAACTAGACCTGGGAAAAGCCTATTCAGGCGGGCTGTTTCACGATTTTCGACACTCTAGGGACAAATAAGCTGCCATATAACCAAATCTGGATGTCACGAAGTTTGATACGGTTTGGATGGGAGGTCGAAGCCAGGCAGCTGTCTGTCAGGCTTGTCGAGTGGCGGCATTGTGGAGGAGAGCTCTGAGGAGCAAAGAACGTTGACACAGTGATAGAAGAGTGCCCGATTATCGAGGACCTGTCACTGTAAAAAGGTCCCTAATCTATCCGTTAGGGAAGGGTCATCGATCAGTCGGACAGCCCTCCTCTGAATAGCATCTAGCATGGATGATGCAGTCGGAACGGCAGTACTAGAAGCTAAGTTAGATCTAAGTCGTGTACAGAGTAAGGAGGTTATGTGGAGAAAAGTACTTCTTAGCAGTAAAACAAATAGCCTAGTATTTTCCCTGCAGCTGCCACAACGTTCCAGAGCAAGGCTTAGGTAATTTGGACCCTGGTCAACTGAAATAAATGGCTTTTTGGCAGAACACGGCCATCGATCAAAATCAGATGAGCTCTATTGCACTTCTTGTTAGCCACGGTACAGTACTGTGTTCTGGAAGCATTAAACTGTACCAGCTCACAGACGGATATCGGCTCGGCACTCTGAATTCTTACATGTCATCAACAAAGCTGGAGATCTTATTGATCGTACAGGAAAAGAGGTTTTTGATATGTAACAGAAACAATGCCGGACCCAAGACTGATCATTGGGGAAGAGCCCCGTTGACGTTGTAGGATGAAGATTATAATCCGTCAACTAAGACGGATATCTTGCGGCCAGCCACCTACCTGTAGAGTTCCTCTGGAAGGCCATATTATGATGTAAGTTTGCACTAGCTGTAGAGTAGCTTTGATATTTCGCAACATTTAACCAACAGACTATGGAATCTGATAGCCAAGTGAAAACTGTTGTCAAACTGACAGAGCTGCAGCTATTCAGCATCTATAAAAGATCTGCACCGCTCCACGTCGGAACGCGTTCATTAATTCTTCAGAAATATTTATACGCTGAATAACCGCAGACCATGCCACTTATTTCGTTGATCAGCCTGTTTGTATGTCTGCGAATCTTGGCCCCTTCATGACACGCAAGTACCGCTCGGATTTTTACACAAGGTTATTTGCAAAAGACGAAAAAATTGTGTGGGTTTGGAAATTCGGGGTTTTAGAGGTGGAGGGTTGAAATGTTACCATCTTGGATGAATAAGAACGTTCTATTACAGAAAAAGGTATAGTTTACTTACATTTCACCAGATAATTACTTGATAAAGAATCGCAGCTTACCTGAAAATAAAAAGGTTATATTAATTTATGATATAAAAGGTTTCGTAAAATATTTGGACACATTCTTAATTCAGACAGAACTATAGAAATATAGAATTTTCCCCTATGGTGGTAAAAGTTGGCATTTTTGCCGTGTATATTTAAGAGAAAGACCAGGATACTGCGGCTGATGAGAGGAGCTTGAAGAAAGTTTGTTAATCCAATTTTTAACTACCTATGATTAGTAGAAGTGGGAAAAGACCTCACAGGTGAAGTGTCTCAAAATATCCATAGCTAGGGACAAAGGAGCGATCGTATCAGTCATTTCTGGATGTACGAAGTTTGACACGGTTAGGATAGGAGGCCGAAGTCAAGCCGGTCTGTCGGGCAGGCACACTGCGCAGCGGCATCATGGAGAACAGCTCTGAGGAGCAAAGCCGGTTGACATAGCGGTAGAAGAGAGCTAGATCGCCGACGGCACGTTGGTGCGAAATGCTTCCGAGGCTAATCATTAGAGAAGTGACATCGATCTATTCGACAGCCCTGTCCTGAACAGCAACAGTTATAGATAATGTAAGCGGGACGGCAGCATTCCAGACATGTGAGCAGTACTCAAGGCTAGGTCTTATTTGGGCCTTATACAAACTGTTATGTGAAGGTTATGTACATTCATAAAAAGAATCGGGTTGTTCGCCAGAGACGGCTTAATTCTCAAGCATGCATGTTGATTTTAGCACTTTGTATAAGGGTGGTATAGTAGTTAGAGAAATACTTTCTTTTGACATTGATAAAATGAATTTACTTTACTACCAAGACAAGATTATGTTTTATTTTCGAAATCATTAGTTTCCCTATCTATCCACGTGCCGTGTGTCTAACTAGGATGGTAGTGGGGGTAGATAAATACACTAATGGGACAGAGCGTGTAGATATATGTTTGTGCCTGCCGCCTGTCTTCTAGAATACCACAGCTCGTAATCTACCACTTCCAGAATATATATGGTGAGTGCATTTATCTGCTCATCAAAAATAATAGCTTCATGCTAGCTAAGCAGTTATCTATTTTTCATGACATGCTTATAATTCGTTTCGGCAAACGTGTTTTTTACTAAACCAGCTTGTTTTAAATATGATGGATGTGCCTGATACATTTCTGTTGACTGCAAAAATGGTAAATGGTCATAGCTTGCAGCAGTATACCTTGAATGTATGTTCATATAATACTTTATGATAGGCCGTAATTACAAGTGCGCATTCATGAACCAAATTCAATCGAAAATGTGAAGTTATATGCCCTGAAAAATCTATTTTACAAAGCTTTAAATAAAATCTACCTCTCACGGAAAGTCAAAAATATTCAACAAGACATTCCCTAGCAACGATAAAAGTTGATTTGATCTCATTTTAAAAATTTTTTGACATGTAATAAGGTTTTATTTTTTTGTTCGAAAGCAAAGTAAGATACGGAGATACCAAGACACAACTTGTATCAGCAGCCGATGAATCCGATAGAAATATCCAGTTGACGCAGAATTTGTTGATACTCTTTGTGAGACTGCGAAAATTCAACAAAATAGGCACAAGAGTCTTTTAGATATTACTAAAAACTATTCTTTTTAAATTTGACAGCCTTCATGTTGAAAAACAGACTTGTTGGGATATACGTTCACATGATCTTTTTTCGGAAGGTGGAGTTGATGTCAAGTTTGCTTCTATAATCTCAGCAACTAAACCAGGAAGTATCTTCACCTTGGCTCAGATAATATGTTTAATATTTTCCTCAAATGGTTTAAGAACTAAATTCGAAAAATTCTATTTATCAATTTGACAGTTTTTTAGGTTTTTTGGGTCATTCTGAACAAAAACGATTCTTATCGGCTTATCTCTAAAGTTGATATGGAGATATAAACTATCTAACATTTGAGAAAATGTTTCCAAAGATTCCAAATATTTTTCAAGCATGCATTAACAAAGTCTCGGAGCATTTCAAGGGCAATCTTTGTTTTTTGATTGATAAATCAGGCGCGCGCTTAATGGATTTCCTGCGTGAGCGAGATATTAATGTAGCATAGAAGCGGCGGCCAGCTGTAAATAAAAATTGGCGTTAAGAAGGTTGACTCCCTAGGCAGCGCTGACGTCAATTTATTAAGGATTATTTCGGGCACAAGCTAGTCCACTTAGAAAAAAGTGGGCTATGAACATGTTAGACCATAATGTCCACAGATTTGATAACATTGCAGCGTGGCAAAGCAGCATGGCGGTGCATACCGTTACCGTCGAAAACACAAGGACAATAGCGAAAGGTGAGTAGAGACATTTTACCGATAAGTCTCTCTCTCTGACACATGATATACAAGGTGTAAAGATAGTAGTAGGTCAACGGAAGTCAGGTCATAGAAGGTCTCAAAACATATCGAATATGTGCGGTCTGTAATTTTATAGTTCAGGGGATACTGTTAAATTTTGAAAAAAAAAACGGGATAATGAACTTCGTAATTACAACTAAACCATTAGGTTCAGAGCTGTGATTTTGTTTTGAGCGGAGCTAAGAAGTTAGTTTTAGAAATATTTATGTCACTTTTTAACAGAGCTTATTAGAAATCAACGCAACAAATCTTAAATTCATTTTTTTGTGGGCGGTAAGAAAAGTTCAGGTTGTATTTCATTATTCATTTTATTGTAAAAACCATTTCAATCCATGCAGAATAGACCCTGAAAATTTCAGCTTGCTACGATAAGTGCTTCACTTTAAAAAATCTGTATGTTTGATGTAGGTGGGTATCGATAGATGTAAACAAGAAATTCTATTTTACGAGCTTCAGTCCAAACGACTTGATGGATTTTGACATATGACGTACTGTTAGATTCGTCCTAGCACTGCGAGTGAAACCTTGTGCACTAAAATTTTGTAAAATCAAAATGGTGGATGTTTTACGCAAATCGCCAAATGAGCTTAATGAGCTTAGGCATTCAACTCGGCATTCTAGGTGCAAGAGCGTTCAATCTTCAGTCCGACCGAAATTTCTAAGTCGGGCAATGCTCCAGCGCGAAACTTGTATCTAATGTTTGGCATTTGAGTAGAATCATGTCATATTCTCCGCGAATTATGCAGAAATGCATTACTATTATGGTGCTGCCTTAGGAAATGCTCGAGCAGCTGCTCGCATGTATCGTGCGTATACGGTTAGAAAAGGTGGACCACAACCGGTGCCATATCCCGACCACCATGATTTTCTACGCGGAGGGCCGCATACTAGGCACTCATCGACAGCTAGGAGCGCCGAGGAGACGCCCAGAAGAAATAGAAGATATAATAGAAGCAGCCAAGCGAGATCCTTCTATAAGCACCAGAGCCATTGCCAGATGCAGAAACATATCCCATACTTCAGTACACACAATACCACGCTCGGAGAACATACATCCTTACCATGTAAAAAAAGTACAGAATTTCTTCCCAGCGACTATGCACAATGGGTTGAATTTTGTGAGAAGGTATGTTGAGAAGGTGCGAAGATGACACTTTTTTCGACAGCATCTCATGGACAGATGAATCCAATTTTAACCGATATGGAATATTCAACATGTACAGTTTCCATTCATGGAGCGTGGAAAACCCACACGCTATTCGTCGACACAGCTTTCAACGTCAGTTCGGCCTTAATTCATGGGCTGAAGTACTCAACAAAAAATTAATTGGACCATATGAATTGCCCGCCAGGTTGAATGGTCAGTCATACCTTGCTTTTCTACAAAGCAGTTTTGCATGAGTTGCTAGAGTATTACCTTTGGACGTTCGAAGCCGCATGTATTTTCAATGCGATGGTGCCCCATGCCACTTTGCACGGCATGTACGTCATTACTTAGACAGTGACTTTCCTCGGCGTTGGCTAGGTAGAGGGGGACACATACGATGGCCTCCAAGGTCACCCGATTTAAATCCTCTAGATTTTTTTATATGGGGGTCTTATAAGGGGATATACATCTGAATATGAAATATCAACCAACTGCGCCAGAAAATTGATGAAGCTAAAATAAAAATTATGGAAAACGCAAATTCATTTCAAAGACTAAAGGACAATTTTATTAGAAGGTGTCGCTTGAGTATAAAAAATAATGGAGGTCATTCCGAACATGTTCTTCAAAAGTTAGTTAAATAAAACATCTTCCATATTTGTAGGTAAATCGCCATAAAGAGCGGCTAAACGGTTCTGTACTTGTAGGTGATAATGATTCTATTGCGTTCACAACAACGAATGTGACATGCTACACTCATCGTAGCAAGATGAAATTTTCAGCGCTTATTCTACATGGATTGAAATAGTTTTTACAATAAAATGAATAATGAAGTACAACTAAATTTTTTTCCGCCCTCCAAAGTCGAAGAATGGAAGAGATTTTTCATAAAAAATGAATTTAAGATTTTTTGCGTTGATTTCTAATAAGCTCTGTTAGAAAGTGACATACCAAAAAAAATCACAGCCTTAAGCCTGATGGTTCAGTTGTAATTTTGATTAAAAGTTCATTATCCCGTTTCAGAAAATTGCAAATACGTCCTGAGCTATAAAATTTCGGACCACTAATATAGGGGTTCATTCAATAGGTTTTGAGGTCCACTATCATCTGACTTCCAGTATAATAAAAGTACACATAATGTGAAAAAGCATTTATTTCTGTATTCGTCAATCCTTCCCATTACGCTACGACGCATGTTGGTTTACTGGATCCTTATACCACTATACTTGACACTGACAAATGTCAAGCGAAAGTGGGAGACATATCAAATCTGCTATAAACATTTACAGTACTCTTGAAAACCATACAAGATAAAATGCTGAACATTTAAATAATATATTAGGGACTAATAACGAGCATTTTGTCTAATTTTTAAGACGATCAGTTCGATACAATTGATACTTGTCTATCGTTTTTTCGTCCTCTTGAGTTTATTTTACAACATTTTGAAATTGTAGTCATTTTAGTCATCGTAGACATAAACTATATTAATTCTTTTAGAAAAAAGGTCTAGGGAATAATATTTCTTCGTAAAGAAACTATATTACATGACCTACTTATTTGACAAGGTCATGCAGTCATAAACTATAAGGCTCATCTGGGACCGTGTAAAAATTTCAGCTCTAAATATGTATACACAAGAGTAAAAAGAAATCTTGAAAAAAAATTGTTTTCTTCGTAACAAAGGGTACGAGGGATGTCTTTTAAGTTTTGCATATGGAAATAAAATAACACGGTAGGTAGTTTTAAATGACTTTATTGTTTTTCGAAGTATTCCCCACGAAGATTAATACACATCTGCATGCGCTCGAACCAATTTTCGAAGCACTTATTCCACTCGTTTGCTGGCAGATCCAAAACGGCATTTTTGAATGCGTCAACTGCTTCTTCTGGTGACTGGAACCTTTGACCACGCAGTCTGTTTTCAATTTTCGGTAAAGTAAAGAAATCGTTAGGACTTAGATCGGGACTATATGGAGGATGGTCCAATAATTCCACGTTTTCTTTCGTTAAATACTACCTGGTTCGTTGGGCTGTGTGCGAGCTTGCATTGTCTTGGTGGAGGATGATTCTTCTTTCGGAGTTGATTTTTCGATGCTCGGTGATGACTTTTGGCAAACAAATGGTGGTATACTAATCCGCAGTAACAGCTCCTTGCTCATAAAGAGGAATTGTTGCAATATGACCCGCTTTTGACACAAATGTCGCGACCATCTTTTTCGAAACACTTCGAGAACGGATGACTTTTGTTGGCTTTTCTTCACCTTGGAACACCCAAATACCGACTGTCGTTCATTTTCTGGTTCATAACAGTAAATCCACGATTCATCACCACTAACAATGCTGTACACATTTTTTGAGTTTCCGGAATTGAAACGGTCAAGCGTTTTTTGGCACCAATTAACCCTGGCTGCTTTCTGCTCTTCAGTTAACAGGTGGGGCATCCAACAAGAAACTAATTTTCTTACTCCTAATTCTTCATGTAAAATTTTTTGAATTGAGATCTTTGAGATCTTCAAGGATGCCTCAATCTCGCGATTTGTCACATGTCTATCTTCAATGATGAGTTTGCGCACAGCATCGACGTTTTTCTGGGTGACTGACGTTTTTGGTGCACCCACCCTGGGATCGTCGCAAAGACTCACTCGTCCACGTTTGAACTCTACATACCAACGGTAAATTGTCGACTGATATGGCGCTTCGTTGCCGAAAACAGACAGTAACTCAGCAAGGCATTCTTGTTGCGATAATAGTCTGTGAAAGTTGTAATAATTTATGGCGCGAAAATGTTCTCGATTGAGTTCCATTTTTCTAATGACTTGGTGACACTTAAAAGTGCACTGTAGTGAGAATACTGAACGTATTGTTGTGAAACTTTGAATTTAAGCTTACTAAAGAGTGAGGTTAAGATTCAGTACTGACGTTCGATCCGCGCGACCTACTATGTTTCTATATACAAAACTTAATAACGACTGTCTTTCGGAACGATTTGTAATTAACGTCGGCAAGGCATATTCGTGTATTTTAATATGAAAAGCATTTTGAACGAAGTCCGTACATTGCTCAGTAAACTAACAGTGATGGTAGGAAGACAGATATTTTGGGATAAAGAATTACAAAATTATCTAAAACTACTTTACCAATCGACCCCAATTTTCTTGTGGTTATTTAGAAGTATGATGCTGACGGATTTGAGGAATTTCAAGGAGCTACGTGAATCGTCGTATTAGCAAAAAGTGCCAAAACCTGTGTGGTCTCGTTTTGTGAATACCTTAAAATCTTATTTGAAGAGTTGGTTCGTGAAATTACCGGAGTTAGAAACATATCAATTGCTAGCATAAAAAATTGGCATATACTCCCAATATCCAATTTTTAACCCTTGCAGTTTATTTTCTGAAAATGGTCAGTGCCCCCTGAAACGTCAAGAAAAGACGTTTGAGCGATTTCTTTTTGTTTCTTGCCTGTAGCTTTGCCGCCACTGACCGCCATTGATAAGCGGACAGATAGACCGACAGACATACAGACAGACCGACGAAAATGAGTGATATGGTTTTTCGTGATATACATGTTATATACGAGTAACATCCAAAAAACAATATCTCGTTTTCGATTGTTTTCAGGATAACAATACTCCCTTGACCAGCAGTGTAGGAAGTAAGAGGTTTGAAATAAATTTATGGTACATCCTGTCAGAGCCTAAGCTTACGTTATATCCACTGCCTACCCAATTTTTATCGACACTTTCATTGCCGATTGCGTTCCGACACGGGGTAGCACGATAAGGGCGAGTTCTCGGGCACAACTGGTCATGCAGCCACGATTTAGAATTTTTTTATTTGCAGCATAGCCAGAATTAGCATGTTTAAAGCTACTTAGTCCACTTAATCGGCATCAATTGACTTTTTCGAAGCAACATAATTTTAAGCCGCTCGACATAAATAGAATTTTTAAAGGGGTCCATAGGAATATTGACCACCACTTAGTGGTTTCATTCTAACCGAATATGACTTATGACTGAAAATTATGGTGAACATTAAGTATTCAAGGGGTTACCGTAGAATCAAAAAGAAATAGAAATGAAGCTGATGTACCTGACAATTTCATGCTCAGCAAAAATCATGGTAAGGTGGGCAATATTGTAATTATCAGAAAATTAGAAATTTAGGTATTTATTTATACATTTATGCAAAATAGCCTAATCCAATTACAGGGCAATATGATGGTAACTTAATTATTGGTGTGCATACAAGAACCACAAAAAATTAGCTAGTGTAATAGTCCCTGAAGGTTGAAAAGATTTTAGTGATACAATGGAGATCAATGTCAGAACTGTTTGCAATATAATTGTGGAATACAGCGGTGAACAAAATAATTCGTTGGCCCGGGGGATAGTGCTTCTCGAATCTAACGTGGTATAAAAAAATCAACCTCTGGAGAAGTTCTGGTGTATCCCGTGGGTCGTGCAAAAGCTTATGGAAGAATGTCAGGCCAGCAATAGAACGTCCTAACTGAAGATTGAAGAAAGAAGTGACTGATCTCCCTTTCTGGATATACACCATTAATTCTATAATTACAATATTTAAGAAATTTTCTTTGAAGATTTGCTAAGAAATTTCATTTTGTTTTATTTTCATTTATTTTATTATTCATCCGACATTAAAGATAGTGTATAGGATTCGTCAGTCCAAAAAAAATACAAACATACAAATATATACAAAATATAAAAAAAAAGAAATTGCATTAATAGATTCAAAAACAATGACTAAAAAATAAGCATTTATATACATATACAATTATCCACAGAGTACACAGCTTTATCAACGAACTAAGTTTCCAGTTTCACCATAAACACCCTCATGCTTTTTATCCTTCTAAGGTCATCTGGTAATCTCTCTCGTACACATTACGACATCGGCCAAATTTGAACCTCACCATATATAATTGGTTCTTACTACTAAGCTAAGTCAATTGAGTGTTTCTTTAAAATTCGATAATGCATCACATTTATGAAAGGCTATCATATGAATTGTTGAATAAATTCCATAATGTTCAAATCAAGCATTTTGAATGTCTGACACATAGTGAACAAGGGTCTCTAATCTATGTTTAGAACACTGGCCTCGAGAACAACCAATGTATGACAGCAACATGTGAATATTAACAATAATAAATTCAACAATTGCTACCCTTTTCTTTTGTAAATAAAGGAAATGATGGTATGCTTATTCCTTCCTTTTTTGTAATTAATTGATAAATTAATAAAACACGATAAATAAAATTAAATGGTGAGTCAATGCAAAACAGCTGTCTAGTGGCGTGCAAATTTAAGCCATAGCTCAATAAATCGAAGGGTAGGGGGGTTAAGCAGCGTCAAGACGGATTAAACCACAAATTCCTTAGATGTTAGTCGGAACCTGTTTTGCTTGACCACTCACACAAAAGAAAATAATGTAATAGCATTGACGTAAACTAATTAATTCTACAAGAGCTAAATAAAACAAGATATTTCAAACAATTACTATGTATTAACCAATTAAATAACATATATGTTCCATCACTGGAGTGTAAGTTAAAAGAAGATATTCAAAATTGCATCTCAATGAAATTATTGAACTATGATAATTAACCCTGCAAAACGTTTAGCATTCTATACGCACAAAGTTTTTACAAATATTTTAGCGCCTAGGCGTAAACCTATCTGGACAGTTGTCTTCTTCCAGTTACGGCTCTAGGCGCAGCCGAGATGACCTCAGCTCACAAAAGCTCAGGTTAGAACCAGTGTCGAGTAGTCGATAGTAATTTAAGGAACTTCACAAGGTAGGGATTGCTTAAAAATCTACTCTCTATTGTTTTCATGAGACAATGCTTCTCATTAAAATACTCGAACTTGAAAAACCAGGTACATTTTAATGAAACAGGCAAAGCAAAGTCAAAAAAATATATTAAAGTAATACACTCTCAAGAAGCTCTCCCTTGTTCTAAAAAAAAATATGGTAACTCAAAAATCAAAATCATGATCAATGTAGTGGAATGAGCTCAATAGAAGGTGCCAACGTAGGCACTGCTCCATACATGAACACGAAAAAGGACAGAAAAATCAAGTACACTCTAAGAATTTTAGTTCACAATAATCAATATATATAAATGAGTTGATTAAAATTATATTTTACCTGCTTATATCAGGGTTTTTGTCAAGAAAAAGGGGTGGTCCTAGTAAAATCGGCTACAACCGGCTACACAACAGCTACACAGCTGGAGGAGTACGGATGGTGGTTTCTTCAATGCCTTTCCACTAACAGGAAGCAGATATTGTAAAGAAACTTCTTCTGGACATGCATCAATGCACGTGGTCAGATGGTATAAAAAAGAACTTACCGCTGCAGAGGTTAAAATCCCATAAAACTGGAGAGAGTCGCACCAAAACAACAACCAAAACAAGTCACTAAAGTATGTACTCCATAAACTGGTGATTGGGGCCCAATATATCAAAATTTAGAAATCAAATGAAGGACCGATACACCTTAACCAAGACTTCAACAGGAAATGACCGAAGGTCAATTGACTGTCAATCAGTGTCAAAAGTAGGAGAGCGCTGGTTGCCTATGGGCGGACCCTAGAAAACCAACTTTATGAGAGACCAACGATATTTTATGAGGAAACTTCTGAGATAGTCATTAGTAAAATATTATAACATTAGTGTCCAAAAGATTTCAACACAATGCTGAGTCGCTAAGAAATAAAGATATAATATGGTTGAAATTATACTTTCAGGATTAGGTATTTTCGAGCTCATGAGATCAATCAAACATAAAATTTGCCAAAAGAAAATCATTGCAAATAGTTTGGCCTAGGAATCGTACTCTATCAATAGTAAAGGTAAATTGAAATTACTGGTAAGTAAACAAAATAATAAAAAAAGGTTATGTGATTTTGGCACGTTACAGTCCCCCCTCTCCTTGGAGTAGGAGGGTATCTACAGAGTAGATAACCGACTATAGTAAATAATGCGGAGCCACCAATGACCTAGAGAGGCAAGAATTAAACTGATTATACTTAATCAAAGAGGACATCCAAATTCACACAAAAGTTCCCACCTAAAAAAAGTGAATAAGTCAAATTCAATATAACCATTCAGTAGTCTCAGAATAGAACAAACTGTACTTCCACTTTTTGATATGTGCAGACATCAAGTTTTCGGCCAAGCTATCTGCCCATACCCAACAATTTTTCGACTCTCCAGAACAAAACGTAAGATAAGATACGATAACGTAATTCAATAATTATACTGAACAAAGGGAGTTATCTCTCAACTCCTTTACATATATGGATGAATACGACAGGTAAGACAAGAGTAAGCAACTAATCCCTCCAGTAAAAGATAAGTATAATAATATTCAGTATATTACATAGTCTAAATCACTACTCAACAATAAGAATAGTTATATAGGAAAATCCAACAATTGAGACTCAACATGGTAGTGATTTACTTATCAGAGTCAGGTTGTTTGGATGGTGAAGCTTAGATGATATAAAGTGTGGACTCATGATGGACTTTTACCAACGGCAGTTTTCCCGCCACGGACAAGCTCTTAGGGCCAGCTCGTAGGGCTAGTAGACAAGATAACATTATGAAATAAGTAGAATAATTGAGAGTGAGACGACGATATCAGTGACAGCAATATACGAGTATACTCAGTGTAACACATTAGAAGTGTTACATCCAGAAAAAAATATTTCTTCCACTTGTTTTTTGGCAAGATGATAACTATATTTAAAGCATGCTGTGGCAACAATCTCAAGTGTTAGTCTGTTAAGCATAACAAAATGCCTCGACTTTGACAGGGGTAGAATTATTGCCTATCGAGTTGTTGGTTTGTCGTATCGCGAAACTGGCCGCCGTGTTAATTGTACTGCAATGATAGCAATGCGTGTGTCTCGTGTGTGGATAGAAGAAGGTAGAGGAATAGGAAGAAGGACAACTGGTCCACCGTGGCATACCACAGAGTGTCAAGATAGGCGCTTCAGACAACTAGCCATACGAGACGGTTTTGCTACTACGCGTCAGATCGCTGACCAAGAGTATCGCCGCATTCTACCCTTTGGAATTTCTTCATACCGTCCACGGTTAGTACTTTTTCCGACTGTGGACCACTGTCGTCAACGTTTGAACTGGAGGAGACAACGGGGCAACATTGGGAGGTAGAATAGACGGGTAGGACGCCACCGAGGAGAATGGCGTGATGTTGGATTTGCTGTTGAGAGGCATGTACACAGGACTGTCGAAGTAATGGTTTGGGGGGTTTGGCCTATGGTAGCCCATCTCCCCTTTTCTTTGTTCAAGGAAGGAATATGACTGCTGCGCGTTATAATGATGATGTCCTACAAACCATTTTACTGTCGACCTATTTTTTGTGTGTGTAACGCTTCTAATGTCACTGCGTATATTATAGGGAGTTGAACAGACTAAGGCAAGAGAAGTAAACAACAATGTTGGCTATTCGGCGTCATTAATGTATGTGGAAGGGGGATCAATATTGGCTTCAGATGCTGAAAATGCCATACGCCTTTAGGATTACCCTGCTGTTCTTGAAATTCATACGACCAAGAGCCATATTTCCGTCTTATTGTAAAGGGTCCCAGGTATGTGGGTGCTAACTTGGCGCTAAAATGATTAGAAGAGTCAGAAAGGACATTTTCATGCCAGACCTTATCTCCACAATTAAAAGAAACGGGGCGTCGTCGCAGATTGTACCTAGTAGCATTTCGCGTTCTCGTAGATTTTATCTTGGCCTGAACTTGTTGGCACAATTTCAAGGAACCCTCCTGACGATTTTGAACATAAGAATCTGCATCAATGTTTTGTGATAGTAGATAGATGATCACTTCCTTATAGTTTATGTTCTCTGCCAAACAAAATGAAGTATGGACTATACTCGGCGGTCTCACTAGGCGCGGTTCTGATAGCACAACCAATCTCATTAAGATGTTCATCCCACGTCTTATGATTTTCTTGGCGCACGTAAGTTCGTAACATGGACTTAGTTACTCGATTATGATGCTCAGTGGGACTAGGATGAGGATTGTAATTAGCAGCATAAAAATACTGGTACTATACTTTTTACACAACGGAACTCCATTCTCGCAAGTGAGAAGCATGGGTGCTCCATAAAGAAGAAAGAAACTCAACAATCTCAACTAAGAATTTAACTTTCGCCGATCGACAAGGGAATAAGGAAACTGATTGACTGAAGTAGTCTGAAATAACAAGAATATAGCAAAGGTTTTCCTTGAACGTAGTAGAGCTCCAATATAGTAAAGACTTAGGCCTGAAATGGCTCTGTTATGTCCGTACGTGCGGCCATTAACCGGCTGCTCTACCTTATTCTGAGCATAGCAAGTAGAATGTTTTACGTAATTCACAACATCAGTTTTCATCTTAGGCCAGTAATAAGCTAGCTGAAATTTGCCAAAAGTTTTAAAGACACCCATATGACCAGATGCTGGAGCATCATGACAGCGTTGAAGAATGATTTTTCTTTTGTCCTTAGGGATTTGCCGTTCTCCAAAGAGTAAATTTTAATGGGCTATTTTCAACACTTTGAAGCATTTTTAAATATCATTTATCATTGGTAGTAGTCGGAGAAATAGATGGTTAGTCCAAACGAAACAGTGAATCAATAGGCACGGGTACAGCTCGAGAGAGAAAGTCACGAACTATGTGATATTTCCTTTTCGATGGATTAATTCAAAGTCGAACGTCTGTAGACGCCATTGCCAACGGGCAAAGCGACCTTGGGGATCCTTTAATCTATGAAGCCATGAGAACAAATCATGGTTTGTAATTACGTTGAAGTGTTCACGATCTAAACAATGTCTCAGCTTGTCGACCGACCAAATACCGGCAAGTCATTCCTTTTCCGTAACTGACAGGTTCAATTCCTGTTTGGTTAAAGACCTTGGAAGGTATGCTACCATATCACCTTTTCACCTTCTCCGAATTCTTGGCTTAAAACAGCTCCTAAACCATAATTTGTCGCATCGGTTTTTAAGTAAAATATCCTATCCAAAACAGAGGCGGACAAAATAGGGGCGACCACTAGATGTTCTTTAAGTTCGGTAAATGCTTTCTGACAATTCAGTTCCACGTGACGTTTTTTTCAGTGAGGAAAAATCTGGTATAAATCATCTGTACCGTGAAGCAGTAGCCACTAGTCTACAAACTTCAGTAACATTCTTTGGAGGTGGGATATTCACGATAGCCTCTACTTTTACGAGATCTGGTCTAAAACCCCGAGCGTCAACCGAATAATCCAAATAACGCAATCCTGGTTTACAAAAGTGACACTTCTCCAGCGATACAAGAAGTCCAGCCCCGCGGAGACTATCGAATACTACATCTGAAAGTTGTAAATGTCCAGAAAAAAAAGCGGACAGAATAATGATGTCATCTAAATAGACCATTACATTATACGTTATATGTTTCCTATTAAATTTTTGTTCACATTTTAGTTGTTCAATATACTCCAAAGGTCCATTATATCCACTGAATCGAATGCTTTTGATATATCTGTGAAGCACATATATTTTGTTTCGTTATTATTTACTACTCCTTCTATGAGTTGTTTTATTACAACTATTGCATCCGTTGTTCCTCTCCTTTCCCTGAACCCAGGTTGTGATTCGTCCAAATTGTGCTCTATTTCCCCATTTAGTATTTCGGTTAGTATGCTCTCGTAAACTTTTTCCTGTATACTTAATAGAGAAATGCCTCTGTGGTTCTCAAGTACCTTTTTATCTCCGTTTCTAAATAATGGTAGTATCATTGCTAACTCCCAACCTTTCGGCATTTCGTTCTCTTCCGCTACTTTATACGTTATTCAACAGCTCTAGAAATACACTTTTTCGTATGCCATCTCCGCTGTTATTCCGTCGTGTCCCGGGGCTGTCTCTACTTTCCGTACGGCATTTTATAATTCTTCCTCGGTAATAGGATCTTTTACAATGACACTGTTTGTCCTAATTTCTTGTATTAACTCATCTCTTACGCAATTTTCCATATTTTCTTACCCTCCTAACAAGTCTCTAAAATATTCCCTCCGTCTTTCCATGATTTTTTCGTCCTGTGTTAGTAGCTGTCCGTTCTTATCTCTATTCACTATTATTTTTTCGTCTTGTATTTTTCAACACTGTGGAATAATTTTTGATTCCCATTAAAATTTTCCTCCATCTTTTTTTCCGAATTTTTGCCATGAGATTCTTTCAGCATTTATGACCTTCTGCTTTACTTTTTTCCAATGTTTTCTATGTTCCAGGTAGGATTCAATGGTTTGTTCTGATATGTATATTTCCCAGGTCTTTTTTTTAACCTTTACTGCATTTTTTATATCATCTGACCACCACGCGGTTTGTTTTCTAAAGCTGTTCTCTACCGTTGCTGTTTCAACTATGTCTCATAATCTGTGGATACTGTGATGATTTACATCTTTTGAGTGATGTTAAAGCTTTTTATCTAAAAGGTTTTGGAATACTGCTTGTGTATGATTTTTCCTTAGTTTGCATGCCGGATTTCTTTTTG